CACATCAGCCCTGTGCTGGGGCCGCAGCAACAAACAACACCCATTTGGTCTCTGTCTTTGGGCCTCTCATACTCCAGTGGGGAGGCAGACACCAAAATAACTGTGACACAAGCCAAAAAAGCAACTGCAGGGTAAGCTGTGAACTGACAGCAGCAGAATTAGGGGGTAACATCCAGGCCCCTTGGATGTACCAAGAGCCCACGTCAAATTCAGGGCCAGGAGCCAGATATCCTTTTACCAACAGACAGAGGTGAGGATCCCAGTAATGCACGCTGTGAGGGTGCATGCCCAGTGTGCTTCCTGGAAGCTGAATGCAGGGTGAACGTGTGGAGAGGGTGCAATCGAAGTTGACTGCAGGAGTCTCCTTCTGGAAACGAGTGCACGCCCTCCCTACACACTCACGCAGAGACCTTTGTGGAGTGTATGATTTCCTGCAGCTCGGGTACATAATGCCACCCAGAGGTGAGGGCATCTAAGACAAATGCTTGAGTGAACAGTGGAGCTACACACAGAGGTTCAGTTACTCAGCAAGTCCAATGGTTATTGAGCACTGGCAATGAGAAAAGTCCTCTAAGCCCCAGTGAGGAGCTCACAGTGAGGGGAAGGCACCTGCAAATGGCTACCATCCCAGTGCTACAGATGATGGTGGAAATGACCCTGGGGCCACAGGAGGGGCATCTTTATGACCAGATCCTTTGCTTAGGAAACTTTTAGAAGGTTAATAGTTAAGCCCTGACAATCTAGTAGGCATCAGCCAGGTGAAAGTGTGGGGCAGAAGCATTCCAGCAAAAGAGCAGAAATAGAAGCCGGGGCACATGACAGCAGGTTGTCTGGTGGGCACAGGGACATGGGGAGCATGCTGGGAGGTGCTGCAGACTGTAGGCCATGTGGTGCTTGAGGGGGGTGTGGGCAACAGGAGCCCTTAAGAGACTCACAGCAGCGAAAGTGTGACAGTCAGGCTAGGCTGTCAGACACTCATTCTTGGCCCTGTGGGAGGAGGAATCTGGAAAACAGCAGGCCTGGGGATGTCCTAATATTAGTAACACATGACTCTCCACCTCATGGTCAATATCGTATGGAAGGAAAAAAGTATCCACAGCCTGTTAACAAACTACCCGAGTTACTGTGACTTTGAGGTCATGTCAGTGGAGCCTAGCAATGTGACTCTGAGGGTCTTCCCAAGAGCAGGAGTTTATGGGAAGGGGGAATCGTGGGCGGGGGGAGGGGCTCCTAGTGGGAAGTGTCCTTTCTGTTCTAGGGTCTTACTATACAAGACTGAAAAATTAACTAATGAGAAGATGTGGTCTCTAGACCCCAAATTCTGTAATTTTTAAAAATTTTGACTGCTAGCTAAAATCGGTATTAAAATGTCTCAAACAGCATCTTCATCTAGACTTTTGCTCAAAAGAGAAATATATTTCTGAAAAAGAGAATCCATGAAATTATTCAGAAAGGAAAAGAACCCCAGGAGTATGCCAGCAAATCTCTGAAAATACAATTTTTAAGTTTTAAGGGCCGACCAAAGGCTGACAGTATTAATTTGACAAAGTCCGAGCGCCCCCTAATGGTTATCCAGGGCCCCTGCAGCAGATGCTTTTTTTTTTTTTTTTTTAAAGCTGCCTAGGATCAACTTGCTAACTCCTTCCAGTCAGCTAATCACGCCAAGTGACCGTTCTTTCATGCTCTGTGTAGAAAACAATAAAGTATGTGGGTCTGTGAGGAGAAACACATAGGATATTTAGGCAGCTGCTTATTCAGTAGGATTTAAGGCGAATGCAGATTTGCTAAGCCACAGAGGGAGAAGGGGTGCTTTAATAGAACCTAAGGGACTTCCAGGAAAACCTCATTTTTCTTTCACTGGTATTGATTCCGTGCGATCATTGTATTCTCCCAAGGGAAAATGGCCTAGTGACCAGGCAAGGAGAGAGAAACGGCGGCCCCCACCAGAGCATAAGCTGCGGCCTGGCGCCCTCCCCTGGCCGCTCCCATGGCTGCAGGGTGGACACAGAATGCCACCCACAGTGGCTGGGCCAGGGTGCCATGGTTGGGTGACTTCTGCTACCTTTCCCCCAGGCAATTATGTTGCAAGCACACGTTCTTTTCTTTCGGTAAAATGTTATCTCGATCCAGACGGTAAACTGAAGTTACACGGCAGGCTGTTAAAATATACTCTCCATTGAATAAATGGATCCGGGAGCGTGAAAACCGCTTCCTGGGGAAGGTAAAGCGAGACAATGTTTGCAGAGGAGAGGAAGCTCTGGCATGCACCCCTGAACAAAAGGGAACAAGTGGTCTTTACTCGGAGAACGGCTTCCTATTAGGACTCACTCCTTCGTACATTATGCCTTTCATCCCCACTCAACCACAAAATGATTTTGCTGAAGCAAATACAATGGTAGAAAAAGATTTACACTGAAAGAATCTTTAATAATAAACTGTTGCCGATCTGCCTACTTGCCCGTGATTTATAATACAATAAACATCGGATTCTATTACGGCTCATGCACTGAAGCTGCTGCTCGGAAAAACGGAATATGAAAGCACCCGGATCCCACCACCATCACAATGAAATGAGCATGGATAAATGTGCTAAGAGTATCTCTTTGCATCTTTTATAGCTGGTGTGTATTAATCTGTAACGCTTATTAAGAAAGTCATTGCTATGCAAAGCAGCACCCAATCCCTTTCTCTGGCTTTTCAACAGAGTGCACTGTTTAGCCAATAGGACGGACCCTCTGGCCCTCATTCTGCATTCATCACAGGCAACATTTGCACAATGTATCTCTCAAAGGCGGCTGAAAAGAAGGCCTTAATACTCATGTAAACAACTGCAAACCAATTACTTAATGAATCAGGCCCAAACATAATGAGGTGCAGACAAAGAGCTATAAATGCATTTTTGCACCCAAGCCGCTGCTTTAAAGTAAAATCCCTCAGCTGTAGTTTGGGCTTAACTAGCACATCATAATTATTGTCTCTAGGACATCAGAGGAAGCCATTTTTTTTTTTTTTTTTTTTTTTTAGATCCAGCAGGGTCTTTTTTTTTTTTTTTTAGGTTGCTCATCAGCTCACTGACAAAATAGAGCAAAGAAGAATTTTTAAAAGTGCTACAGCAGCACTGCACTGTTATGTTTATTCTCAAGTACTGGGTTTCGAGACCACTTGTAAAAGCAATAAAGCACGAGGAGTGACTGCAGTAAGTGGGATCCTTAAATGTAAGCCTCTAAGAAATTTCAGTGAATCCAGGCACAAACAGCAAAACCAGAGCTCTCCAGAGCCCAAGGTAGTGTGTTACCAACACCAAACCCAGCACAAGAACCAAACCGTAACAAGCAGCGTGCCAAACCCATAGACTCAAAGCCCAGACCTTTTCATCACCCGATTACTATCAAGTGTCTAGAACCAAATGTTCCTTGAAACCCCCCTTTTTTTTCTTAAAAAGGGTGATGAGATTACTTGTGATTTATTTAGAAAATTAATTTCATGCAGAAGCAATAGTAATAACACAAGTTTCCTGCCTCAAAATGAATGGGGAAGAAAGTCTGAATTTAGTTTACTGAAATATAAACACAAGACATGAAATTATCAGGCTGAGAAAATATTCTTGGGGTCCAGCTGCTTTCTGAATGTATCCTAAAACCGCCTGAAGAGTATAGACATATAAAGACAAGTTAAAGAAGAACTGTTTTTTTTTAATGTGTCTAAAATATAATGGAGATGAACACTTCCAACAATCTTTAACAGCTACAGGATATGTTCCTGAGCTAAATGGTAACAGTAAGTCCTAACATCAACCTGTAGAACTTACTGTCTTTTAAAATATCCTTTAAAAGACCTAGAACTTGAATTTACAGGATAATAAAAAACATATAACACTTGAACATTCTTCCTGTCCCATAATTCATTTCCTCCTACTTCTTTCAAAACCAACGATGAAAACATAGGTATTAAAGATGCTAATTTCTAATAACTACATGAGTAGTTTTCTAAAATTGAACCTGTCGGGTTTCCAAAAGCAACAACCTAATTTTAGAAAATCCATCTCATTTTAAGATATTCTGGATCCTAAAACCAGTATGATGTCTTCCAAAATATAAGTGAAAACAGGATTTTTTTTTCATTTAAAAATACTATATTTCTGGATCAAATCACTTATGGGACACTGCATATGATGTTAGAAATGTGAAGTTTCTATTTTAAAATTTCATCAGGGTATGTTAACTTAAGTGTAATGTAATCATCTAAAAGACATCTTTTTAAGGAGAAATGTTATTAGAAAAAGAAATTGTGGGTTTTTAACATTATGCAGCCCAAAGCCCAAAGGTAGGTATTTCCTCAGACAACTGTTTCTATTCCCATCTATACATTCTTTCTGACTCAATGCCATTGCATGGTTAGTATTTTATGTTGATGACAAATCCAACACACAACTCACCAACTCACTTATCGTGGCTTGAAAAACTTTAAGAAGTGCTGGGGTTCAGCAAATGTTGGATACATTTTGTTCTTTATGGATAATAAGGAAGTATCAGAAAAGGGAAGAATAAGCTTGCCCAAATGCCTGGTGAAAAAGAGGAATACACAAATACCCAGCAATTGCCAGTATATATATATCAGCCGTCTCAGAAAGAAGAAACGGGGCCACTTTATTTCTTTTAAGGCCTGATGTTTTCTCTCTGCCCTTTTCCGACACCCTGCATTGTGTGGTCTCTAAGCAGCCCTACTGCGAGCAGCTGTAGACGCTAATTTGTGGTTCACTGAGGTGTCAATTGAGTCTTAAACCAACGAAACAACAGCTGCAAAACAATACTTGGCTCTCTGGCGCAAATATTTTCAAAGGTAGACTGAAGTTTCAACTGTTATTTTAGATAAACAACAACCCAAACCATAACCTTCCCTCAAGTCACACAACAAAATAATATGCAGCCAGAGTTGCATTCATTACAGAGTGACAGTTCTCATCCTGTGTCCGCTGTTTAGAAAGGCTGTCACGACTTTACCTTGACAAAGGACTTCCTTCGCTTGATGAAAAACTAGCCTCCAAGGCGATTTTGTTAGTTGTCTTTGTCTTGAGTGTGCGGCTGCCAATGTTCAAACCTGTGATAAGCACAAACGTGGAGGGTGAGTGCTGGCTGCCGTGCAGCAGAGAAACACACTGAGTGAAGACGCAGCCTCACAATAACTTTGGTGAAACAAACGTCGACAGGCGAAGATGTTGCTCAAGCCACAGGAGGCAAGGGAGCCTCTGAGGCAAGGAACAACATGTTGGCAGAATACTGAAAGAAGCGTGTGTGCGTGTGGGTGGGTGGAGGGGTTCCCATGACATGCAGATGCCACAAAAACTAAAAAACAAAATCATTCAAAGAGCTCTATTAAATGACCAAGCCACATGTCTATGCATATTGGTCTCTCCTATAGCACTAACTGCTGATAATTCACCTTATTGTAACACATGGGCCGTGAGAAACCATCAAAATGATGGGTGCTGGGAACCAGGTCTCAGAAATCACTGACATCTCAGGATAACAGTTGCCCCTCTGCCAAATCCTCTTTATTCCATCTCGTGGAGAAGAATGAACCTCCACTGAAAGCCATCAGGGCCACTCTTTAATCAGCCTAAAAAGGTTGATGGGGAAGATGCACAATCCGCCTCTTCTCTGGAGTGGGGGAACCAGACCATGCCCATAGTATGCCCAGCTTGCAGGGCCACATGACCCCCATCTCCTGGGTGCACTTGGATGTTAGCTACCAGTCTGATTCTCAACTGGTGGTCACTGGGGTCATGGATAGAGAGTGCATGGGCATAGCTGGGAAAGGCACTGGCTCAGTTTCTGACCTATAATCTGCTTGCTTCACAGAACCTCTGCAGCCAAGTGATTCTCTTAACGAGGTGCCCACATTTGCCCAAAGAGAGTCCCCCATGCTTAACAAGACAAGGTCTTTTCAGACATGAACATGAAGGTACAAGGTTTAAGTGGCTTGTCTTAGTGACAGGTCCAGAGACAGAGCCTAAGATCTCTGATGTAGAAGGTAACTGAACCCTGCACTTGTTCAACAGTTAGATGAACTCTTGAGTTAAGGGCCCACACCCCTGTAAAAACACTGTGGGGTCTACCTGTAACAACACTGTGAGGTCTAACACGGGTACATGGCTTCCATTTCTCTCCACCATCCCAGCCTACTTCCTGCTTTTCTCTGGAGCTCAGAGAAGTCCCCGGGCTCAGAGCCAGTGTAAAAGTGAAAAGGTAGCTGTGACCAAAGTTAAAATAAATACGAGAAACAGTGTCTAACTACAATGACAGCTAGGATCATCTGAAGCATCTCTGTGATCCCAGTGCTAGAAACTTTGGAATCTTGCAAAGCATATAGTGTAATTGTGAGGGTAGGTGAGGAAATTGGATCTAGGGGTGCCTGACTTGATACAACCTATCACTTCACTTATGAATAGATTAAGAAATGAATGTATTAATTATTACTCTATTAACAGCACCAAACTGTTTGATAAACATCGAAGGGACTATAACTATGTCAAACTTATCCTTTGAACGCGTCTATGTAACTATCATGAATATACTTAGCAGAAACAGACTTGCAGAGTCACCTTCCAAATGTGTGTCTGCTAACAGGCTGTGCTGCTCTGAGAGGCATCACTGTCTTGGGGCCTCATTTGTAAACTAAGGGGTTGGATAAACCCCATCTAAGGGGTTGGAGATCCCTCTGGACTCCAATTCTGTAACTCAAATGTGAAGAAGGTGATGAAAAGCACAGATAAGGGTTCATAAGTGCTGTATCTTTCCACCCAGAGGCCCTGCTTTATACAGCAATAGACTGCAAGGTCTCATGTTTGTGGAGTTCAAATAATAACCACCATTCTGAGGGCTTTTCTCTAACAGGCACTGTACTGGACATTTAACCTGCAAAGACTCACTGAATCCTCAAAACAGCCAAAATAACTGAATTTTACAGTAACTGATTCTAATACTACTATTATCTAGGAAATTGCTTCCCAAAGACCGAGGTAGCCAAGTCTGATATGCCATAAGTATGCCCCTCAAAAGAAAGGTCTGTCTCATTAGATAACTGGCACATTTTGATATGGACTAGAAATAATGTGATATTAAAAAATCACTATTTATTCTGGTAGGTGAAATTATGACATTGTGGTTTATGTGAAAATAAGGTCATTAAAGTGTACTTTAATGCAATTACTTTCACAAAGGGAGCTGACATGACTCCAACTAAAAAAAAAAAGTGCAATAAGAACCACTGAAAATTATAAACATGCAATAATAGAATATATGAAAACAAAGAAAATTAGTTAAAAATCCTAGATTGAAGGAACTACATTTAAGCTTAAAATTTAGCTTTATTGGGATTTACAATATTTTTATTTCAAGAACACCAAGTCCCCCAACATTCTAGGGAGAGAAGGTAGCCCAGCACAATGCTCCCGCTGATGATTAATAAACTGGGAGGGGGCGGGGCTCCTGGGTGGTTCAGTCAGTTAAACATCCGACTCTGGATATCAGTTCAGGTCATGATCTCATGGTTCATGAGTTTTGAGCCCTGCGTCGAGGTCTGTGCTGACAATGTGGAGCCTGCTTGGGATTGTCTCTCTCTCCCCCTCTCTCTCTGCCCCTCCCCCACTTTCTCTCTCTCAAAGTAAATAAATAAAGAGAGAGAGAGAGAAACTGAGAGATATTGGGAAGAGTAGGAGTTTGGGGTGTTTCTGATGGTACTTAGTGACAAGTTACTATCATGACATACCAGGTAGAATCCAAGAGCCTGTTTGGGCCATTGCCATGCTGGGGGCCAGCATATATCCAGGAGGGAAGACTTCCAAACTATTGTTCGTTAAGAACTGAAAAAGTACTGGCTTATTGTGACCTGATGACAGCTTGTTACAAAGCAAACTCCAGAAACCTTCAGGGGATGACCACCCTTGCCTGAACCAGGCACTGGCTGCCTTCCTCCATCCCCTGAATGCTGGCTTTGAGTGCTGAATATGCCCTTGCTTACCTGACAGTTGTAACACAGAAATATCTGCTTTTTGGATTCTGTCTTCAGTGCAATTTATATTATCCTGAAGGGTAGACTGCTTCAGCAACTGGTAGGCTTTTGTTTCTACAGATTAAAAAGAAAGGCACAGATAAGTGAAAATTCACATGCAAAAGAATGAATTTGGACCCTTGCCTTATACCATACACAACAATCAATTCAAAATGGATTACAGACTTAAACATAAGACCTAAGACTATTAAATTCCTGGAAGAAAACATAGCAGAAAAGTTTCAGGACATTGGAGTTGGCAACGATTTCTTGGATGACGCCAGAAAGATAGTCAAGAAAATTAAAAATGGACAAATGGGACTCTAAGGAACAAAAACTTGCATGTCAAAGGAAAAAATGAACAGAGTGAAAAGGCGACCTACAGAATGGGAGAATATAATTGAAATAATATATTTGATAAGTGGTTAATATCCAGAATATATAAGGAACCTCTATAACTTGACAATAACAACAAAATAACAACAACACCACAAATAACCCAGTGAAAATGTAGGGAAAAAAACTTGAACAGACATTTCTCCAAAAAAGGTAGGTATACAAAAGGCCAATAAACACAAGAAAAGATGCTAAAAAATCACTAATTATTAGGGAAATGGAAACCAAAAATCACAATGAGATAGTTAGGTACGACCCATCAGAATGGTTATTATCAAAAGAACAGAAAACAAGAATTGGCAAGAATGCAAAGAAGTTGGAATCCTGTGCGCTACCAGTAGGAATGCAAAATGGTGCTGCCATTATGGAAAATAGTATAGAGGTTCCTCAACAAATTATAAATAGAACTGCCATATGATCTAGCAATCCTACTTCTGAGTATATGTCCAAAAGAATTAAAAGCAGGGCATGGAAGAGATACTGGCACATCCATGTTCACTACAGCATTATTCACAATAGCCAAGAGGTAGAAAGAACCCAAATACCCATCAGCAGACGATACACAAACACAGCATATACCTACAGTTGAATATTAAGCAGCCTTTAAAAAGAAGGAAATCCTGACACCTACTACCACATAGATGAACCTTGAGGGCATTATGTTAAGCGAAATAAGCAGGCACAAGAAGACAAATACACAAAACATACAATGTTCTGCTCAAATGAAGTATTGATAGAAGCAGAAAGTGGAAAGGTGGTCACTGAGGGCTGGGGTGAAGGGGAAATTGGTGTTTAGTGGGTAGAGTATTTCAGTTTTGCAAGATGAAAAAGCTCCAGAGATCTGCTGCACAACAATGTGTATGTATTTAACACTACTGAACTGTACGCTTAAAAATGGTTAAGATGGTAAACTTCATGTTGTGTATTTTTATTTACAGTTAAAAAGAAAAAAAGAATAACCAGACATCCCAATTTGTCCATGACAATTCAGGTTTGTGCCTGTTGTCCCAGTATAACTATTAATAGAATCCCCTTCTGTTACCAAATGTTTCCTTATGTAGATGGTGACTTATGTGGTCATCCAAACCAAATGCAGTGTGCTGGGATAGTCTGGCTACTGACTCAGGAAAAAAAAAACCCCAACAACTTAAATAACAGTAGAACACTGATGGGATACTTGATGATACTGATACATTATTATTAACTGTTTTAGTTGTGGAAAAAAAGACACATAAACACAGAAAATTCTACTGCCCCGAGTGAGAAGTTTCTTAAATTCCCTCTATGATGATATTTTCAAATACATGCAAATTATTTTTTTGAACTGTCACTTTTTAGAAATTCTGAAGACGAACAAAAAACAACTTAGTTGAACCCAGGTTTCAAGACTTGAAGACAAGTTGTATGAATTTATCTGAAGTAGCCAAATTCCAGTCATTATTTTGAGTCGGTCTGTGGGTAGGCTCAACATCACAGTAAAATGGTTTCTCTCCTCTCCGGGCCTGGCAGAAGCGACTAGAGGAATGAATCCGAAGACAGCACTGATTTCCTTGGTCTCTGGTCCCACCCTGGAGTGAAGGGGGCCAGAGGAGACACTGGGTGAGGACAGACAGGAGGGTCAGGTAGACCAGCAGCCACAAGATGAGCTCAGAGGCTCGCAGCTGAGAAAATTGAATCAGGGCTCATCGTGGGGACAGAGTGTTTGCAGGGAGCAAAGCCAGGCACCCCAGAGGGATCAGCAGCAGCACACACCTGGCTCAGGTCCACTTGACAGAGGTCCCTGCAGGGCTTCTCATTGTGTCTGCTGTGAGGTAATGTGGGGGAAGACTGTTGGGAACAACGACGGAATAAAAACTACGTAAAGGACCCAACTGACACAACCTTCCCTATCCCCTCAAGTCTCAAGGATACCTGAATGAAACTGATAGCACAGACATAACAAAGCATCCACAGCTGTATCTTCAGAGTGGCCACAAAATAAAAGGATTCCTGCTGTCAGCACGGGGGGCTGGCAATCGGCTGCATCCCTCTGTTTGCTGGCTCCGTTTAAGAACTTAACCATGAGCCCCTTATTACTGGATTAAAACTACCATCACACTGAAGAATAAGAATATAACTTACCTTGCCCTCCTGAGAATCAATCAAGATAAAAATAAGTATTGAAAATGAGCATCATATTTTGGAATGTTAAACGATATATAATTAAAATATGTATAGATCAAGGACTCTTAACTCTGAAAATAATAAATTCTAAGGTAATATATTTTTAGCACTGCTGGATTGTGAACACACTGGAACCAGATTTAGTACAGAAAACACCAGATACAGTGTAGGCAAAATGGGAAAGTATTGTTCTGTGTGTGTGGGGTGTGTGTGTGTGTGTGTGTGTGTGTGTGTGCGCGCGCGCGCGCGCTGGCCTGGGACAGAAAGTATTTCTTGCTATAGGTTAGTCTCATTGTCCTAGGATGGCTCTAATAGGAGGGCATCATAATACTCTCTAATAAAAATCCCCATGTCCATACTACTTCAGATTTGCTGTAAGGTTATTTTGGGTGAGGGGAGATATTAATAAAATCAAAGACAGTGTCTGGATTCTAAGTAGGTAAAGAATCACTGTAAAGGAGGTGAAAATGTACAGTTTTGTTTTTATTATATAAAAACTTTCCAGCCTTTAGGATACAAGTTCAGAGCATAATGACTATATGTTGTTTCTGCATTCAATTACATTTATTTGGTCAAAGACAGCAAAGCAGACATGTAACAACAGAACACAAAGACTTTGTTTCCCAGCAGCTAGAAACTTGAAGCAGGGTTTCCTCTCATCTGCTATCTTAAGGTAAATCATTTCCCCTAGTGAGCTGGCTCTCCGGCTCCTCAGAAACCAGGAAAATGTGTACCTTTTATGTTTAGGAGAGGGTTTTTGTGAAAAATGGCAAGCTAGTAGTTGAGAGGTAATTTTCGATTTGGGGGGATTAAATGTTCTGCCCAAATATTAGACAGTGCTGATACTGTTAGTGGTCTGAGTTTAGCAAGGGAGAAATGTAAAGTGTGTTCCCATTTAGCAGCAAGGGATCATTTTACTACTCTGGAAAGATAAACCATTTCCATGTTTTGCATACTTTCTATTCTGGTTTCCTTCCCTTCTCCTTTTTAAAAATTGGGGTGTAATTGACATACAACATTATGTTGTCTCAAGTGTACCATGTAATGATCTGATCGTGTATATATCTGATTACCACAATAAGTCCAGGTACCATCCGTCACTTTACACAGTTAACACTTTTTTTCCCTTGTGATGAGGACTTCTAAGATCTACCTTCCCTTCCTTCTTGAGGGACTTGGGCTCTGTAACTGGGCTCTGGTGTTTCCCTTCAAGGCTGCCCCAACTGTGCTTTCAACTGTACAACAGTTTTGGAGAGAGACAGCTCATGTCTCCTGTGGCCCTTCTCTTAGCAGGGTCACTGAAGCCCGCCTGGACAACTTTTCTCCATGTAGCTGCCCTGAGCTGAGTGATAGAGGGTTGGCAAAATCAAGCTGGAGACTGCCGGGCACAACGCCTGCCCCATCCCCATGCGTGATTACTCCAATGGTTTAATGGCAAAGTGAAGCTTAAAACGTAAACGGATTAAATGCATTCACTTGGAGGAATATACACACACTGGCTGAGACAGGACCAGAGACACCAAAACAGCTGGAGGCGTTGGAGCAGCCGGCGCGTGCTGCTGGCTGTCAGGAAGTCTGTGTTGGGCATCAGACGCTCAGAGCTGGGAGTCACTCTCTCATGGCATGTTCACATCCTTATCTTAGCCAGTAGAGCTGCAACAAACAACATATGAAGGGCTGGACGTGGACTCAAAAACAGTTTGGTGAAAAAAATAATTAGGGGAGGTTGAAGGCTATGTAGCTTGTATAGAAAGAGGGGAAGAAGGGTTCAAGTGCACAGATGCTGCACACAGACTGGACAGGGTGGGACTGTAAAGGCAGATGCTTCCCGGGGCCGAGCAGGTACCACACAGAAGTGAGTCTGGTGGGATGGGAGGAGTGGGCAGGGGAGCCCTGCAGCAGGCTGGGCCACACGTGCCCTGTTCTGGGGGACAGCTGTTCTCTGGGGACAGCCAGTTGTTGCCAGGTGGGAGAGTGGGCCAGACTTCTTGCCAGACTTCTGTCTTAAAAAAAAAAAAAAAAAAAACATTGTGCATGCCAAACAGAGCATACCTGTAACCTCAAAATTTGAAGGCAGTGAGCAATTTTTTTCTGTGTTCACTGTGTAAGCACAAGAACCCTTAGGGAAAAACTTCAGCCAAGAGATACAACTTTGATGTCAGGAAAAGCTTTCTTAGCTGAAAGTTGATTGGAACATATTATCGGGGGGGGGGGGGGGGGGGGGTTGCAACAGTTGTATGGAGATTTTTAAAGAGTCATCTGTATGGAATGGACCAGGCTGCACATTCTTTGGAGGCAAGTCTAGTTTTTGCTAGGGGTGCTCCAACAATTCAGGTATCTTTCTGGAATAGTTTAGAAGGTAAGGATGTAAGCTTTATAAAGCAAAAAAGCAAAGTTACTGGCATGAAGTTTGTGGCAGCTGAGGCCCAGGCTTTCCTGGAAGGAAGAGAAATCAGGCTGTTAAAAGTTGCACTGTGTTGCCAGGCAAATTCATAGTTACTTAATGAATGAATGAA